TCCTGCTCAATGAACAGGTCATCCAAAATGTCTGAATAAGCAAACAACCTGCAGTGCTTTCCCCTCTGGGGTTACAGTAACAGGAGGGTGCATGAAGCAACCATGGTGAATTCAAACAATAATAAGAAGGAATCTGTTGTATGTTAGTGTCACTTAAAAGCTTTTTTGAAAAACAATCTAGCCTCCTCTGTCTTTGGTGCGCCTCACCAGTCAAGTGCGCACTTTGTTCCAGTGCCTCTGCCTCACACAATCACACACACTGACACCGTCTTCCCAAATTGCGCTTGCAATAGGGAACCTGGCACTAACCTTGGATATGATCACCGCCATGGCCAGATTCTCTGAATGGGCGGCCACATAGCCCAGCATCATGATTCCGGGGAGCCGGACATTCCCTTTGCAGCTGCCAATACAATCGATCACAGCAGCGACTCCCCCCGCATTCACTATCAATTGCGAAAGCTGAAAGCAGATAAAGCAGAGAGGTCAGAAATGCTGCCCTTTCAAGCACCTGTCCAAACTGTACGGTCAAGTAGCCTTTTTTACCAAATCCCTTCAGCCCTACAAGGCTGCAGGGTCAATCCATCGATACAGATATCCCTAATGGTCAATCCATCACCCCATTACATGCTTACAAATAAACACAAATTAGCAAAGCATACTACAAGGCCATCAGTGCGGATGCTTCCCCTGTCCTACCACACCACTGAGTTCATTTGTTCATTTAAGTCTTTATATCTCATCTTTCCTTTTGGCTCAAGCTTGAAGACTTCCTCCAATCTGAGGAGCCTTCCTCCAAATTAAGGGGCTCCTAAATTAAAGGAAGTGCCTCTAAAGTTGGAGGAAGACTACTTGGAGGACAGTCGGATCCATGCCACCGTCTTCTTATTGGATGTGCTGGTATGAACTCATTTGCCCCGCAGACACCTCAGAGAGCTCTTTTGCATGCTGCTTCGAAAGCATGGTTGCTAAGCAATGGGAGTCAAAGTCCATGCAAGAACAGTGTCTTGTGCCTACATACATACATCCACAGAGAGGCACATGTTGATCTATTCCTTCCTATAGAAGTGAAGGGGCAAGCCAACAAATGCAGAACATACACGGGCTGTGGAGTGGGGTGTAAGGCATTGCCATTTATTTAAAGTATGTATATCTCGCCTTATCTCCTTGGGCTCAAGGTGTTTCAAAAAGCAACAAGCAGTTGCAAATGCATAAAATCAGCCCAAACAGTCCATCAGCAGGGATCAAATCAGCTTCTGGACAAGGCATGCAGCTATCCCTATCAAATGCACAAGACACATCTCAATACAGAGCTGGGCATCCTTAAACTGATTCCAATGAGCTGAAGCCCACCTAACCCTCTGTTGACTGTGCCCACACAGGATATGCCTGTTCATACAGTGAGTGGCCATACATGCACTGAGAACTGCAGCTTCTGCAGAAGTAGGCGGCTTCGGGACAACCTCAGCCTTCATATTTTTAGATCAAGACGAGTACCCGTGTTAGTCTCTCTGCTGCAGTAGAAAAGAGCAAGAGTCCAGTAGCACCCGAAAGACTAACAAAATTTGTGGCAGGGTATACGCTTTTGTGAGTCACTGCTTAATTTTTCAGACTCACAAAAGCTCCTACCCTGCCACAAATTTTGTTAGTCTTTCGGGTGCTACTGGACTCTTGCTCTTTTCTACTTCATATTTTTGGTATCAAGTTCCTAGTTCTCATAGAGCAATGTTTGAAAAATTATACTGCCTAAGTCTTCCTTGAAATTGCAGTTAAGTTTAGCAAGGCTTCTTGGAGGTCAGAAGATAAGATTCCTTTGACAGACAGTGCTATCCTAAGCACAGCTCTACCCCCTAGGCCGACTTGTTTAAATAGACTTAGAAGGGTATCACCCTGCTGAGGATAGCACTGAGTTCACTAAGCCTACTCAAGAGCCTTAACTCCTTCTCCCCAAGGACTTCGACCTATGCGCCACCTCCTCTTTACAGCCACAAGTTTTTTTTCCTAAACTACTCTGTATTTCTCCCCAAATTATAAATTCCTCTACAATTTTGCCACAAAAAAAATCCACCCAAGTACTAATATCAAAGGGGGGAGGGGTAAATTTATCAAATGGATTCAAAGTTGTACTTTGTTGAGCACAACATTTGATGTGGTAAAGTTCTGAAGAATACAGCATACCCAATTTTTATTTGTCACTTTTGTATTCTATGCTTCCTCCAAAGAGTGCAATGTGGCCTAGTTCTGCTTATCCCTTAAAAAAAATTTTTTTTTCAATAGCTGTCTTAGAGGCCCTCAGGAAGGCAGAAAGAGGGGGGAAGTTTTTGTGAAGTAAATAAGCCTTGTGAAGTAGATTAGGCTGAGTCACTGTAACCCTGAAAGTCACCTTCATTACTAACTTTGGGCCTCAACCCAGTTTTTCAAGATCCTATCCACAGCCATGAATTCACTTAAATATTGCAAGGAGGCTAAGAAAAATAGGTCTGGATGCCACACAGAATAGGCAAAGCTGAGCTATAAATATTGCACGTTTTCCTCCTCTCTCCTGCAACAACAGTTTTCCTATGACTTTTAAAATTGTGCCCCTGTGGGTCAGAGGCACAATTCACGGAGGCACAATTCACAGCTGCAGTGAGAGGCAGAAATTGGTGCAAATCTCCACCCCCCTCTCCTACAAACAAAAATGCCTTTCACGGGCAGAAATGGAGGTTAGAATCCAAGTCACAATCCTATGTGCTGGAAAGTGCTGTCTGTCAAGTCACAGCTAACTTATGGCGACCCTGTTGGGTTTTCAAGGCAAGAGACATTCAGAGGTGGTTTGCCATTTCCTGCTGCCACGGTAGTGACCCAGGACTTCCTTGGTGGTCTCCCATCCCAATACGAACCAGGGCCGACCCTGCTTGGCTTCCAAGATCTGACAAGACTGTGCTAGCTTGGGTCATCCAAGTCATACATACCTACAAATGTTTATGCATCAAAACCAGTGTGTTTGAAATTGTGTTTGGAAGGTAAATGGAAACCACCAGAGGAATCTGGGTCTCTGGTGTGCCTAATACTCTATATCCCTAGTGAGTGTGGGCTAGAAAGACCTGCACCTAGGGTCTTCAAAGGCAGCACATTGCTGTTGTTTCTGGTGACTATGGCTCACCAAACCAGATGAAAGTTAAGTTGCTGTAGACCTGCACATATTTACTCAAAAGCTGAAATCCTTTTAAATCCATGGGGTGAACCAAAAACAACATGGTGTGCAGGGCCCCATTCATAATATATTTCACAAATATTCCCAGTCCAAGACCCAGTTTGCACAAGGAGAGCTCCTCTGCTCTATCACTGTGAGGACTTTGAATGAGAAAACTCATCTCTTGTTTATGAGGACTTTTATTTGCTCAAGCAAACTACCAAAACTGACAAATCTGGTTTGGCATATCTAGCAGTGTTAACTGTGACTGAAGTCTCTCCACCTCCAATACCAATCTGGGGTCCCACATACTGTGGACCAATTTCTAGTAGGCCAGCGATGCCGCAGAAAGGAACCGAAACCAGAGTTAGCAAACATTGATGCAGCTTCAAATTTTCCTCTGGAAAGGGGGAGTAACAACAGGATTTACTTCATGATCAAATTTTACATCTAATCAGAGAAAGGACACGGGGAGAAAGAAATCCTCAGCTGAAGCGCAAGAGCCGATCCCCTCCACACAGACTGCTGCGGCCTGCAATTCAACCCAACCCCTCCCCCACTCCTCCTCGCCTTCAAATGCATGAGCTTTGAGACACAGAGCGAGGACTCCCGTGGAGACTGGGCTCGATGGCACAAAGGAAGTTTTGACTATGGCAAGGATTCCCCAAATCCTTCCTCCTCCCCCCATGGCTAGCAGCATCAGAGCTCCCAAAAGGGCACCTCGTGGATTGGCTTCATGACACCGGGTGGGGGGTGGGGAGATTCCCAAACACCCAGAACACCTGAATAATTTGATTATTGGATTTCTGTGGGAGGGTTCAGTAGCTTAAATTAACAAACTCAATAAGGAGATCCATGCGTGTACTAAATGTGCTCGAAACTCAAGAGAAAAGAAGGTCTCCCTCCATTTCTTTTAATGCATCATATTTTGAGTCTTACCTTGGGCTTTTTTTAAGCACTAATTTTACATCTAATTTGGGAGGATTTGGAGATATTGTAGGAACAGAGGTTCCACAAAATCTGCCAAAGGACCAGGATGCAAAACCTCCCGAGCTTTTGACACATTGCAAGGTGCATGCATTTAAAAAGAGGGTGGGAAACAGTTATGTGCTGTATAAATTCACTTCAGTTTAATTCAGCAGAAATCTAATATTTGTTTCTGTCTGTTCTATCAGCCTCCATGCTCCTCATACTGAGCATCACTCACTATCTGGTTTAGAGAGATATTTCCCATCAGTTCCTGATAAACTAAGCATTCGAAAAGAGACAGTTATCATCCTCTTACAAGGGAAACATGTTCAAAAAAGGATTTCCTGTGCTGATTTAACATTCCGGGAGCCCATGAGGCCACAATCCTGCACACTGTTCAATACAAATAAGCATGTCGACTTCAGTGGGCTTAATTGTGCGTAATGTGTGTTTGATTGTGGCTTGAAATTTTTGGCACTTCATAACTGCCTTCCAGACACTGACCTCTACCTCCTGACTATTAAGAATAGTCTCTGCATCAACACACACCCCTAACAGGAAAAGTGGGTTTTGCCTATTTCTTTCTTCCCTATTTGTATTCCAAGCACATCCAATAACAGCAACAAATATTTCTCCCCTCCTTTGCACCAGTGGAAATTCCACAGAGGTTTTTGCCTTGCCTAATGAAAGAATAATGCTGAGGATTTTAAAAAAATTATTTAAAGTATAAACACTAATAACGTGACCTTGTATTTGCATTCTCAAGGTTTTACCTCAGGCGTATGCCTTGCTATCTCTCTAATTAGAGTTGCTGCATTTTTCTTGACGTATTCATCGGAGTCCTTCAGGCATGTGAGCACAACAGGGAAAATTTCTGCTTCCACCACCATTTCTGCCAGATCCACAGAATGCTTTGCTATCTGGCTGAGAGCTGAAAGCACCTGACGCTGTGGTAGATAGGAACCAACCAATTGTTTAATAAAAGGCTTATTGGCAAACACTTTACGTGCACGCACACACCCGTACACAGGCACATTCAGAGCAATCAAGGCAAGGAGAAAAACTTCCCTTCTCACTGGAAAGGTACCAAAACCACCCAGAATGACTACAAAATTCACAGTCTAGACCCATTCTAATTTAACAGCCCCCCCCTTTTTACTGATCAACATTTATCTTCATTTTCCTCCAGGAAAGCAGTTAAAAAAGGAAAACACATTTACGTGAAGGACATTTCATTAGAGTAATTGTTACGACTTCTGAGTAAATGTAATTTTGAATCAAAGAAAAAAAATGCAATTCTAATCCTCAAAGTTTAAAACTGAAGGTATACAAGTTATTGCTGTTTTTAAAAAACTATGAAACAATTGTATATTTCTTTATGTCTGCACAAATCACACAGATTGGTGGTTGTCATTACAATTTTCATATTTGGAAAATATATATTAACACACTGCTTGTTTTAATTAAATGGTAAGAACTACATTACATGAAACATAGTATTTTTAATAATTTAATGGAGTGTCACATTGTTGAAAAGCAGAAGGGTTGATTGCTTTAGATACTCTAATGTCTTGTCCTATGACTCTCT